CCCTGGTTCGAGATTTGCTAGCATAGAGGGTGTTTAATTTTTGTCACGCTTACTGAGAAGTTTTGGCAAACAAAATGAGAGGGGTGATGGTCGTCGCAGTGGATGCTAGGATAGCACTTAGGATTAGTTTATCATGCCTTACGCAGTGTGTTTTTTGAAGGGAGGATGAGGGTTGGTCAGTTTGATGGGGGCAAGGTTTTTCTCCACGTAGTCGAGGAGGTCGTACCCAATTAGAAGAGCTTTAAATTGGGCACGCCACTGCGGGAAGGCTAAAGGAGTAAGTTTGTCATTGATTTGTATTGAAACGTTGAGAGCAATCAAGGGGATATCTGTTGGGGATGAAGGATTTTGAGTGGGGTTAGCTGAAATGGGGATCAAAATCTCGTGAGAGAATGGCTGCTCTGATATCATGATGGAAATTCAGCAAGAACAACTGATGGAAATTAGAGTAGTGTTTTATTTCTCTGTAAAAATGACAGACTTTTCAACCTTCATTTTACAATGACTTGCGTACATTTAAATACAAAATCTTCGATCTCTATTTTAGGAAATTAGCCAACATTTTGCATATATAAAAGTAGCAGACTAATTTCATGGTTATACAAAAATAACATTTACAGAAAATTGATTGACTGTTACAGGCATGATTATTGGCTATCTTGTTGGTTTTGATTCTTGGCTTGATTTGTGGTGGCTGATTTTTGCTCCTTAGCTTAATTAGTGGAATCTTCCTTCATACGCCCCCGCAAGATTGGGCTACCATTGGCAAGACCAATCTTGTTTCTTAGTTGTTCCGTACGTTGCTTTGACATTGGTTTTGTTAGAATATCTGCAAGCTGGTCCTGTGTATTTACATGATGAACTTGGAGTTTTCATTTCTAAACTATATCGCGCACAAAGTGTAGATCAATTTGAATGTGCTTCATTTGAGAGTGGTGGACTGGATTGAAACTCAGTTGTGTGGCACCAAAGTTATGACAAAGTAGCTTTGGTGTGGATGATATAGGGTGGCCAAGTTCTTGAAATAACTGAAGGAGCCAAATGGTTTCAAAGGCCGCATTTGCAAGGGCTCTGTACTCGGCCTCGGTTGATGATCGAGCAACTGCCCTTTGTTTTTTCAAGCTCCAAGAAATTGGATTTGTGTCAAGGAAACATATATAAGCAGAGGTTGGAGTTCTATCATCAAAGTTCCCTGCCCAATCTGCATCGCTGTATGTGGTAAGAATTGATGGACTGAATTTTCTGTTGTGAATTTCATGAAAAATTGTTTGTTTCAAGTAACGAAGGAGACTCTTCACAGCCGTCCAATGAGTTGCGGTGGGTTTATGCATGTACTGAGAGAGTTTATTGACCGCAAATGAAATGCCTGGCCTTGTAAGAAATAGATATTGAAGAGCACCTATAACTCTCCTAAATTCTGTGTTGTCAATGGAGCTAGTTCCATCAATGAGTTTGAGGGATGTAGTGGTCGATAATGGTGTGGATGCATCTTTTGCATCGAGCATGTTACTTTTGGACAGGATATCTCTAATGTATTTATGCTGAGACAAGAAGAGACCAAATTTAGTAGGTATAACTTCCATCCCTAGGAAAAAATTTAGCTATCTCATATCTTTCAAAGAGAAACAGTGTTCAAGTTTTGTGATTATTGAACCAACAAATTGAGTATCACTGCCAGTTATGACTAAGTCATTCACATATACCAGCAGAAAACATGTAACCAAGCTGGTTCTATATATAAATAATGAAGAATCTGCTTTAAAATTCATAAACCCAAGCTCTGTAATGGTTTTCTTGAGGGCCGAATACCATGCTCTTGGTGCTTGTTTTAGGCCATAGATGACCTTGTGTAACTTGCAGACATGGTTAGGCTTAGATGTATCCTTGAACCCCGAAAGTTGAACCATGTAAACATTTTCAGTCAACATCCCATGTAAGAAAGCATTGTTGACATCAAGTTGTCTTAAATTACAATTTCATTTTGAAATAGACTACTCAATTGTTAATTATTTTACATTACCTCGTTAGCAATTACAGCTCCGTATGAGATTTCTAACTTCACACCGGGTTTCGCAACAATTGTCACTTTACCATAACAAAAGGAGAATAAAGAAAAGGGTAAATCACAAGAGGTTAAGCTTAAGATCAGAAGATGGGTTAAATACAAAGATAATCATTGAGTAGAAAAAAAATTCGTGTTTGTTACTAAATTTCATTTTATTTTAGTTATTGACTTAAATTATCTACAATTTGGTTATTCTGTTCGTATATGTTATTTTGACTAACAAAAAAAGTGCCTTGATAGATTGATTAACGAGGATGCCAACAAGGCTATCACATAAGTTTTCATGGTAGTAAAACTAGCGTACCATGAAAACTAACGTAGATGAACATGTACCAAAATGGCAAAGTGTATAACAAATATCCATATTTAGTGACAAACATCAAATTGGCAAGAAGTTCAGTGAGCACCACTATTTTTGACCCTCACAAGATTATGAAGTCCACATATCAACAAAGCTAGAGCAGATAAATAAAAACACAAGAAGGAATGTCAAGGTACCTTCAAAGTAATGCCAGATCCAAACATACATTTTCAGTCACCTTCAAGCTATCCAGCTCAATGATACCCGGCTTCACCACGTTTTGGGGGAATAGAGTTTGTCTCATTCTCTATTAAGGTTTATATAGAGAAGAATAAACCCCAAGATTCTGAAATTGAAGTTTGCATAGAGGATTTTTGGACAGAAAATATGTACGAAATGCAATTGAGATATGAATAATAGCGATCTCTGGAGTGGATTGAAGATTTTCTAGATTTCAAGCTTGAAATTTTTAGATTTAATGCTATAATGAAGAAATGGTGGTTGGGGGATTATTGGGCGATAATTGGGGATGGTAATAAGGCTTCTTTGGAGGAATGATTTTAGCTTTTTATTGGGCGATAATTATGGGATTGATGATATTTTGTATTTATCATTTATACTTCACATATTGAAGTATTTCTAGAATAAAAAACTTTGAAAAGTAAAAATTGAATTTTTTATAACCTTAAAATATGTGGTGAAATTTCCACATTTCTAATTGAACTCTTAATTGGCACAGACTTAAGTGATTGCAATTGATGGACTGCTGTGTGTGTGTGTGTGAGAGAGAGAGAGAGAGAGAGGTGGCTATATTTTATGTTTTGGGAATTTCGAAGGACTAAAGTGATATATGTGTTAACTCAATTTTATTTTGGTCAACAAGTTAAATTTCGATAAAGCAAAGATAAATATATCAATATTGAACTTGTTGATAGCTCATAATTAATCATACATTTTAGGTTCAAAAAAAGTTAATTCGAATAGTGAAATCTAAGTTATTGAAATATAAAGAAGTTATTTATTTAGTATTTGAATAAATTTTGATTTCCTAACTCATGATTGAAACATTTTTCTTGTGGGGCACCATATAACTCCAAAGTGTGTGTGTCTATTTATATATGCGACAATAGGCATAAAACAAAGTTTGCAGCGTGAATTTTTATTTTTATTTTTATTTTTTATCTTTCAAGAATTTATTTGATCTAATAAGTAGGATAACGAGGTGCAATTTCAAATTATTATACTTATGAAAGTTAAAGATACGATATGATATTTATAATATGACCATTCGATACTAAAGATACGATATGTATTAAGCTCTTACCGGTCCATAAAGATATGATGACGGTACAATTTTATGCATGATTTATTTTTAGTTGGGGTTGCATAATCATTTTCATATTCTATTGAGTATTTCCATGTACTCGCTCATTTTTCCATAATTATATACATAATAGTATGAAAATTAAATAACATTTTTGTTTAAGTGATAAGCATTGCCAAATGAATTCTAGAGTAACATGTATTAGGACTCGTTTGGTATAATTTTTAAAAATTAAAATAAATTTTTGAGACCCAAAAGTTACTTTATAACCCGTTTGACTGATTTTGTGAAATTGCTTCTTATAGATAGAAGAATTTTTAGAGGAAGTTAATCCAATGTAATTTAAGGTATATTTGATTGGAAAATTTTCATGAAAAATGATATTTTTCTACCCGAATTTCAATTTTTGAGTGTTTGATTGCTATTTTTCTATGAAAAATATTTTTCAAAACTATGTCCAATTTTTCTTATTTTTGAGGAAAACATATTCTTGGGAAGAGGTAAATTTTTGTTTCCTCAAAACAAAAAAAGAAACATTTCTTTTCTCAAGAAATATCTTTCATGCCAATCAAAAATATCCTTACTCTGCAGGCTATTACGTCATTCCAAGGGTTTATCCAGTGCACACTTGAAAGGTAGCGGCCGCGAATTCTCTCGTCATAAAAAAAAATAAAATAAAAATATCCTTATTGTAAAAGCAATTCTAGAATATGAAATTTTTGGAAAAGCAATTTTCAAACAAAAATAAAGATACCTTCTTCCAAAAACTATTTTACATAAAATAAAAGGGAATACAAAATTCATATCAAAGGAGTCCTTAGTCGAGAGAAACATCAGCAAAGCACCCTCACCTCGCACTCTAGCCAGACTAAAAGCTTTATATTTCTTTTCAAGAATGCATGTACTGATTATTTAATAGATTAATTTACAATTGCTAATTTATCAACATTTCACAGACTGGTTTAACTTCGTCTTTTGTCCAACCAACCTATCAAATGCTACGAAGCCAATACTTTGAAAATTAATTTGTTATAAAAATAAAAAATAAAATAAAAACTGTACAAATAACATAATTCATCTCTCTTTTCCCTAACCACAAACAACCCTGCTATGCTGCATGACACCCTCTTCGACAGGCCCCTTACGAAGGAGAGGGATTGGATTTTTTGGGCTTTTTTTATTTACATGGGTCACACTTCATGTAAGTATCTGTCAACAATAGGTCATTTTTTTTTTTTTTTTTTGGGTAAAGGAGCTTAACTCACCCACAAATTATGACGGGGATCTTGCTACAGTACATAATTTGGTTCATAGAATTTATATCGAGGAGGTATATGATAATTTTTGGTTGAAAGAAGACTACAAAAAATAGAAAACGAACATAAAATTCTGTAAAGAAAACCCTTTTTCATTGTCTTTATGGCCGCGAAGATTCCTCCAAGTAATCTTTTCTTATCAACAATATTGACAACTCCATCGCACGTGGCAATCAAGCTCTCGCACGTGCAAGGACAATCACAGCTGTCCCCATCAACTTTCAACAGCTGTAAAAACAGAGCATTTATCGTGATGAATACCAGCTCTCCAACTGCTCCACAATTCTCAGTTGATCGGAAAATGGAAGATTCCATGGATGTCACCAAGCTTCGCGGTGAATTTCTTCAGGTTCTTCGCAGCCGTCGAACGGCAGAAGGTAATTTTCACACGCATTCACACTTTTTTGTGTGATTTGGAGTATTTAATTGCTTGAAGATTGGCATATCTGTGTTGAATTTTTTTTAGTTAGTTTGTTTTTTCGTTTTGTTTGGTATGCGAGCTGAATTCGGTTTGGATTTTGATTTTTATTGAAATTTTTTGCTGCTGTTTGATTTGATTTTAAAAATTTCGATTGATTTCTAGTGTCTACTTTACCTTGGTTGGCAGAATTGAACTTTCTCACATTTCAGGTTTTGAATTTTAAGAAATGTTTGTATACGAAGAGAAAATAAGAAGAAGCCGGAATTAGGAAAATATTTACCGAGTTTAAATTATGTTTGACCTTTTGTGTTCTATAGTGACTGGTAATAGATAATGGAGGATGGGAGGGAGAAAAAGAAAAAGAAATCTCTAAAATGAAAATGAGTTACAGTTTGTGGGAGTGAATGTATAGAATTTTATAATGGTCTTGTGAAATTCCCATCTAATTGAAAAGGAATGTCATTGCTTTCATACTCGGTTCAAAAATTCTTGGAAATCTCTTATTGTTGTAAGATATTGAATAATTCTATGGGTAATTATATATTTCTACCATTTCGTAAAAATGTATGCAGGTAAAAAATATTCTGTGGCTGATATAATATAGGCTTTCTATCGATATTGTAAAATTGTATATATTAGATCAGGATGACAAAGGAAACTTAAGAATGAAACTTGCTTATGGAAATAAAGAGTAATGTACTAGGAAACAATGAGTTGTCTTATTTTACCGGCTGCAATAAATTGTATTCACATATCAAATGATACATTATACAATGCAGTAAGGAGGGGATCCAGTCCAACTTGAAATTCCCTACATAGAAGTTGCCACCCGTGAGGCAATAATTTGTACAACCCTTCGCATTCTCTTCAATAATATATATATATATATATATATATATATATATATATATATATATATATATATTTGGAGAGCATAATTCTCTAATCCCAAGAAATATTGTTATCACTGTCTTTGATCAAAAATTTATTGGTAATCTCTCCAAGTAAAAAGCTGCTTCTTCTAATTGTTGATCCTGGAAATGAGTCTATTAAGGATATTGCATGTATAATTAAGATAATGTGCTGACAGGTGATATTTAGTGGAATTTTGGTTTAGGTAGATTGCAGGTACCAACAGGAGCGTACACAAGACCAAAAAAAAAAAAAAAGGCCTTCCAATATGTGTTCATACTCTTGTGTTTCCTGAAAATGCCTCACTTTTTAACTATGCAGATTACATTTCTTTGATTGGCCATTTATTGACAGGGAAACTATAAATATTTATTTTGGTATTTTTTCCCTCAGTCTGCATGTGTTCTTAGATCTGAATGCAAATTGCATCTGTGTTTCTTCATTAACACGTGCAGACAAATTCATATGTTTCTTAAATGTTATCAGTTCCTCTTTCTGTTGAACCTGCTCAACCTGTGCGAGATCCACTGTATCAGGAAACTCCAAAGCCAACCTTCAGCAAGGTTGGAAACTGCTTAGGATTTTTTTCCCTTCCTTTATGTCAATAGTTAACTCTATTATCCTGATGCCTTTTCTGGCACATACAGACAATGGAGTCTACTCCAAAGAAAGATATTCTGAATTTCAAAGAGCTTCTTCAGGAGGAGAATTTGTACCTGATTACTGAGGTATCTAGGGTTTATCTGTTTTTCTTTCTTCTATTCTTTTTAGCACTATGTTATATCTTGAAATAGGGAACTTGGACATGGTATAGAGGTGGTACTGGTCTTTGTTTCCCAGATCATAATTCTGAAGTTCGACACAACAATGAAGAGCAGAAAGTTCTGATATGAAAATAATTAATGAATGAAAGAAAAAAATATAAATTCTGAATTCATTACGTAATCTCTGACAGCATCATTATTCATTTATTTTCTCTTTTCCCAACGGAAGAACAGTTCAATATGTTAACCGTTTATCCATTTCCTGAGTACTCTGATAGGTGGCATTTTCTATGGAAATCGTATAATCAATCTGTCTCTCTTGTTTAGAACCTCCCCATCTCCTTCAAACCAAAAGATAAACATACAGGTCATATCCTCTGTCAATTGCTAATTTTATACATAGCTGGAAAATTGATTGCTCCAAAATATATGAAGGATAAACAATTTGAGTTTTAAAGCCTGCAATGTTACATTTTATGATTGATCTCATTTAGTAATATTAATTTATGATAAAACTACAAGAGTGATCCATCTGATATATAGGTATTCATTCTCAATTCAATTCGAATGAGAGTTGGCTAATANAATTTATGATAAAACTACAAGAGTGATCCATCTGATATATAGGTATTCATTCTCAATTCAATTCGAATGAGAGTTGGCTAATAATTTCATATCCTCAACTAGGAAGGGGATCAAGGGCGTCTGCCAGTTTTGATATTGAGTATGAAAGAAAGCAGTGGAAAAAGAAGACCAGCAATTGTCTTTCTACATAGCACAAATAAATGCAAGGAGTGGCTGCGACCTTTGCTTGAGGTGATTATTAAATAATTTTCTCAAATGCTTGCAGCATTAGAAGATGTTTTAATAGAAAGAGTTTGGCTTATCTGTTCCTTTGTCTCAGGGATATGCTTCAAGGGATTACATAGCAGTAGCCATTGATTCTCGATATCATGGAGAGCGTGCCAGCAGCCTGACTACCTATAGAGATGTGTGTTTACTGGATCGCTGCCTTTTGTTTTCTTTCTCATTGATAAATTAAACTAAAAATTTTATCAAGTCAGAAATAGTATGCATCAGTAAGTGGATAAGCTCTATGGTCCTTGACCTGACGAGGAATTCAAGGTGTTGCTTATGTACAATGGTGTTTGGCTCTCAAACATATGTAGATATTGCCAAATGTTGTGGCGAGAACAATACCTGTCTTGAATATAAGAGAGTTGAAAATAATAGCTTTTCCCCTTCCTACTTTCTTTGCAATGCTGCAGACTTGTGCATGTCTTCTCAAGGATTCTTAATGAGCTCAAAAGAATATCCCAGTTCACCGTCAGTGATTAGATTGGCTTAGTTTTTTCTTTCATCATAATGCAGGCTCTGGTGTCATCATGGAAGAAAGGCAATACGATGCCATTCATATTTGATACGGTAACGGTGCCGTATCCTGTAATTGTTAAAGTCAGTTCTTTATGGATTTGGACAAGTCAATGTTGAAAATTTAAAGTTTTTTATGTTAATTGATGAGTCAACTGAGAATCAATTTTCTTACAGTATGGACCATGAAGCTATACATTTTTAAAATTGTATATTCCATCTAAAAATATACATAAGCTGAATTTCGCAGGTGTGGGACTTGATAAAATTGGCGGATTATCTAACTCAAAGGGAGGATGTCGACCCGTCTAGGATAGGAATTACTGGCGAATCACTTGGAGGTTGTCAGAATTTGGTGGAAGATAAACTACATTAGAGATATCAATCTTTCTTCAAGTTGCAGAGCTTACAATGCAATTCCATTGTGCAGGAATGCATGCATGGTTCACTGCTGCTGCTGATACTCGCTATGCAGTGGTTGTTCCTATAATTGGTGTTCAGGTAGGTCTTGGAACTTTTGGATCAGTCAGGTGAACAATAATCTTACAATCTAGATATTTAAAATATTTTTTAGGGATTCCGATGGGCAGTTGAACATGACAAGTGGCAAGCTCGAGTTGACAGTATCAAGGCTGTATTTGAAGGTGAGACGCAGAGAAGCCAGAAAGGATTTTTGCAACAGTCCTGCATATAATTCTGTGTATACATTGTTCTTGGAAAGCATTTTTTAACTTATTAATATGTGAATGTTGCTTTACTGCTCTTCGTTTCCAGAAGCACGTGTTGATTTAGGCAAGAGCACTATTGATAAAGAAGTAGTGGAGAAGGTCGGTGTTAAATGGGCCGGGCTGGCACGTTTTTACACCTTTATATGTAGCTTAATCCGCTATGTACTCTGAATGTTGAATTCCATTTGATATCACAATTGTCAACAGGTCTGGGACAGAATAGCTCCTGGTTTGTCCTCTCGGTTTGATTCGCCTTACACAATTCCTGCCATTGCTCCACGTCCTCTCCTGATTTTAAATGGTATTAATGATTATTTTCATTTAAATTAATGACAATGCGTGCACATTATTATGTTTTTCTCCTAACGATAAGGCACTTGCATTGACATGAATATTTGGAAAGTTCAGGCAAAGAAGATCCTCGTTGTCCAGTTGATGGCTTGGAACTCCCAGAATCAAGAACCAGAAAAGCTTACGAAGATTCCAATTGTCTTCACAATTTCGAGGTAGGAATCCATGCTGCCTGTCCCCCCAACCGAAAAGAAAAGAAACACAATAAGAGTTAACACAAAAATGTGCTCTCACGCATATGCATATGTATAAAAACCTCATTATGTTATAAAAAACCGACAACAAAAAATCAAGAGGGTTGTTTCTATTTTAGCTATAATTTAGACCTTTCTTATGAATTTAAAATGAATCGTCACAGAAAAGCTTAGTTTCCAATAGCAGCATGTGCATGTGCTAGCTCACACATAACATGACTGATTATTAGCCAATGATTGGTTTGATAGGTTCAGTTTTTCCCTTTTTCGTTTTATTCATCTTTATTTTCAGGTGGCAGCAGAACCAGGAATTGGGCATCAAATGACACCTTTGATGGTCAAAAGAGCCAGTGATTGGTTCGATAAGTTCCTTAAACTGTAAGGTTGACTTTGTATATTGTTTCTATATGTTGTCTCTTAAAGATATTGAAATATTGTCGTTATTATTTTAATAATAGTGTGATGTGTAACTAATAGAAGTCTTTCCTTTTGTAATTAATGCTGCTATTCTTTAGTAATTCTGTGCCCTGTCCTAGCCCCTGCTAAAGGTTAAGAACTTAACAGACATCTTTTTCCACCTGCCATTTGTAGACCTCATGACTTACATCCCCATGAACAGTTGAAATGCATCGAAATCTTGGATTTTTAAACATAAACTTTCCACAGCCACTCTCTCCAACACCTCTTCTTGTCCAAAAGAACCAGTTGAGATGGTCGAGCGTTACTTGAAACTCACTGGAAGAATGCTATGGTTGAAGAGTATTCTGCATCAAGGTAAAAATCAGTCATGGTCCTGTGTTCCTTGTGTTGAAGGGATGCATCTGGCTGATAATAAATTGGGTTTTAAGCTTAAGCACAATCCCAGTGGCTAATTCGGTCATCTTTGTCTTTGGCAATTCAACCACACTGACAATAGCCACGACTACTGGTTTCCTCGGCAGTCGTGGCTATTATGTCAATTGGGGGCGTATGTGTATATATATATACTTGACAATAGCCACGACTACTGGTTTCCTCGGCAGTCGTGGCTATTATGTCAATTGGGGGCGTATGTGTATATATATATACTTGACAATAGCCACGACTACTGGTTTCGTCGGCAGTCGTGGCTATTATGTCAATTGGGGGCGTGTGTATATATATATATAATATTGTTCAGTTATATGGACCAAACATGTCATTCAAGCATTGATATTGAAATACAAATGGATTGTATCTTGTACTATGTAATCATATCTACTACTATACATCAAACATGTCGTTGAAGCAGTAAAATGAATGTATCACGTTGATCAAGTTTGTCACTATTTCGGTCATTCAACACCCTATCTGTAAATAAGGATGTCAATGGGTGGAGGTATGGGCATGGGCAACCCTCACCATCGTCCCCTTTATTATTTATTCATATTTTTATATTTTTATGTATGATTTATAATATAAATTAAACAGAAATCAAATTAAAAATAATACTCAGGTTGGGATTGAGGAGGGAACTATGTGCCCTGTCCCTGTTTCGGTTAGCGAGGCAGGTTGGTTGATTTTGTCATCCCTATAAGAAAACCGAAAAAACAAGGACAAGGCAATGAGTATGGAAAGTTATCACCGAGTTTTTTTTTTTTTACAATACACGTGGCATAGATTCATTGGAAGATGGGAAAAAGGAAAATGGAAAAGGAAAAATGGCCGTACAGGTGCACCACTGGAAATAAACTGTCAACCCTGTACTCAGGTAATTATCCAAAAAACAAATGGCAAAGAACAACAAATAAAAAAATATATTACCGAAAACTGAGCCAAAAAAATGAAATCGAAAACGGAGCATGAGCAAGTTATCAAACTAAAAAGGCAGGGCCAAACAAACCATTATTACGTGCCATAAACTCTTAACCTTGAGTGGTTTTAGTAGGTTTAAATTTAGAAATGTCAACAAGGTCTATAGGCAGCAAGTCCTCTGGTTCCAAGGACCTATACATTTTTTCGTTGGCCACAGCCGTAGGCTGTGATGCAACATATATACGTGGGAACTTGATTAAAACTTTTCAAGTAATTGGCATACACATGGATTGCCAATTCTACCATGCATGTTATCCTATCCACTACCATACACCAAAGCATTGTAATGGAAGTACAATGTTTGACTAAAGAAACATAGCGATGATACATGCA